CGTGTGGTAGGACCGTTTCGTTTTCTTATCTATGTGAACGATATCTGCAGCATTGTCTGAAATGGTACACCCTGCCTTTCGCAGACGACTTGAAATAGTCTACAGCTTTCCTTACACAGCACTAGCACAAGGTTTCTTGCGACTACGAGGTGAACTGAAGAGAACATTCACGTGGAGCGTGACCTGGCAGTTCCCTCTAAACCAATAAAGGTGGCATCCTCCATTTCAAATAATCCATACAGACGTAAAGCTACACCTGGGTGACACCATACGGAAGATATCCAACACTGGGAAAGACCTCAGCATCACTTACGACAGGGTTTTGACTTTATGGGTACACAGACTCGGCAGTTTGCCAAAACGGATGACTCATAAGTCATCTACGCGATAACATACACCTATGGAGAAACTTATACCACACAAAGTTGTGGTTCACCCAACAGTGGATTAGTGCACAGTTATCTGTAGTAACATGAAAGCATCTGATATAATTAGAGTAGAGAACGTTCAACGAAACTTTACTCAGCACCTAATAATACAAAGCGAAGGACTTGCATTCGAAGCAAGATGCAAAAAACTAGAACTAGAATCGCCCTGGTTGAGTTGCCTGAAGCTCAACCTAACCTTTCCTTTTAGTCTTTCATTTGGGAACTGTAAAACGAAATGTTCTGTCACTTTTAAATCAACACCTTCACATAGTCTCCCTAATAGCAAACACACCGTTGCAATAAATAAGTATCGCTCAGTCCTTCGATGTAGGTTTTTCATAACGCAGTGCAGTGTGCTGTGGAACAAACCTCCCGCTTCTGTAAGAGCATGTAGATATCTGGGCCAGTTTCAACGATCACTTAGTGAATTCCTTTTATCTAACAATTCCCGTCAATTCTCTGGCGGCCAAACCACAAAAGGTAACACCATGTACAATGGTGCTACTGGTACCTAGACTCAGGCGAGACTAACAGCAATGACATAAGTATACAATGCCGAAAACTGGGTGCATAGTTTAGAATCTAATGAAACAACTGGCCTAGAGTAGACAGCAAGCCGAGTGTGGTACGTTTGCAACACTTAACCGCCCCGAAACCCTGACGTAACCCCCATTTCTTCGTAACCCAAATGATCTCTCGATTTAACGCCTATTCCTTCTGGACCATGAAGAATACTACTTTTACTCCTCATTCCATGTAAGTAAATTAAGCTCATCGCAACTAGGGCTCAAATTCCTTCCCTTATCCCACTCCAGGCATATCTTCGGAAAGAGTACGCGCATACTTCACTCTGCAGTACTAAAGAAAAGGTGCAGTGGTCATGGTCTTCTACAGGAAACATTGCAATTAGCAAAAGGAAAAGGAGTTTCTTCAAAAAAATTTAATGATAGTGCATACTTAAAAAGTATTGGCAACAGGTCGTAGAATAACTCAAAATATAAAAGCAGCTTTACAACACTGGGTGGCGAATCTGATGGTGGGGACCTGTGGAAACCACCCTTATCTGTGAGAGGCTCAAGAGTAGTTGAGGTATTTTGATGCGCGGAGACAGCACAACAAGGGCTGCGAATGATACCGGGTACCTGACGGCCAGTACAACAACCCATAGCCCCCTCCACGTCAGTCGTATCACTACGGTTAGCAAACACAGTATAGGCTAAAGAAGGGAAAAGCAATGATAGCACATGGCATAAGTAGAGTAGTGATGGACTAAGACAATGCAGAAATGCTTAACAGCACGAGACGGCAGACCTGATGGCGGGAAATTATGGAAGCCACCCTTATCCGAGGTCGTTAGATCCAACCTAAGACCTCCACCCTCCCTTCCTTCACGACTATAGTAACTCTTCTCCTAGCCCTGTATATGTATATCAAAGCCCCTACTGGTTCTCAAATACGAAACAAAGTCACCAGCCTTGAGCACTATTAATGCAGCTTAAACTAGGACGCGAGAAATGTACTACATGAAACTTCAAAGATATTCTATGAGTAGAATACAGAACTGTTTGTCTCCTTTAGATACTCTAGCCTTCAATACTGCTTCTCCAAATTCTAAGACAACTAACTTCGGTCCTCATGCCTCTATGTTTCTCTTTCCCGCTCTATATGCAGATTGTGTTGGTGGATCATACCAATGCACAGTGAGCATCGAAGTACACTTCCAACTCCTATTCAACACGTGAGAACTATCATCTTTTACCACCTGGAGATGCACAGTCACCAAGAGCTAGAAAATCCATCCCGGACTACAACCTCTTCTAAATTCATGGCTCCAATTGGGAATGCTTCTAGAAACGTTGATAATAAATGCTGTTTGCATCCAAACACGTAAGTTTTTACATTCCTGACAGCCACTTACGCAGAAACGAAGTCAACCGAAAGTAACATCAAACGACGCGCCGACCTTGAAGTCTTACTGAATGGTTTGATGACAAACCTCTCACGTTCTCCACCATGAAAGGGACGACACCAGCGGGATTTAATTGCATACCCGGTCTAATTTGTTCGAATGACTGTTTACAGTATCACAAACCCGGACAACTAATACACTCTGCATGACACCGTACAGTGCCAGACCCAGATTTCCCCATGTTTAACTCCAGTTTCACTTGGGATCTGTAGACAGTGCAAACTCATTGAATACCGAATGTGACGGAAAATTGATGTGAAAATCCCTACTGGTCATCCTTATCTGATTGTATTGAGATTTATTTTAATACTTTTACCCTTGTTATGGATGGTGTGCCTTTGACCCTAGCCGGTGTAATGTTATCTGCTTGTTTAACTGTCTTATTTGACTTTACGCTCGGTATTTGCCTTTGTATGTTTGAGACTTATTATGAGTGTTTCACTTTCCTACTATGTGACGCTGGACTGTTGATAAGGTGATGTTGTTTTACTGCGCCCGACATTTTGTTTTGGTTCAACTTACGGTTGTGCTGTGATTTGACTGTTTGTCTTTTGAATGTCTACTGGGAACGTTTGTTTGTTGATTTGATTCCTGTAGGCAGAGTTTTGATCCCTTTTGTAGGGAATATTCCTATTGACCGACAGGTATTTAACAGTTGTATTTTTTAACCAGTTTAACCGTGTGGTACGTATTTGTACCCGAGAACGTTTTGGACTGTATAGTTACCCAACGGCACTATTGAGGTATTCTTGTAATTTTGACATAACTTATTGTTGCTCTGATAGTGCCACAGATTTTGCTACGAATCTAGTACTGGATTACTACAAACCTTGTTTTGGTATTTTGATCCGACCTTTGACTGTGCGTCACTCGCGGAAGTTAGGAAGCTATACAGTAGAACGCATGAACTAGTCAGGTTCACGTCAGTTGGCACCGCCTAGTTATTTCCCGCTTTCAGGCCAAGATTATTGGATTCTGGCAGCTACAGTGACGTATCTTCAGGTTAGCTTGATATCAGTACTCCATATGCAACATACTCTTATAGATTGCAAGACTCACCACTGACAGGATACCTCTCATACTGAGGGGTTATACCCTCATTAATTTTCACCGCTGCTGTTTAGCAACATCGCTTTTATCGAATATTTATAACCGGCGGTATCAAAACAATTGTTTACTCCAAAAGACTGTATGGCACGATGATTTGTTTCTTTGGAAACTTTTACAGCTTCATTAACAAGATAACACTAGGTATTGGCGGTAAAAATGGCTTGTATTCTTATAATTCGTTATTCCAAATATATTATTATTATTGTTACTTTTAATCCACCACCGTTTCCTGCTATTACCACTGGCCTACCTAAACCCCTCATTTCTCAATCACCATTATATGCTGATGATCTGAGGATCTGGATGGAAATGCAGGAGCCAACGGATATCTCGGTCCTCCAGGAGGTTGTTCGCCAAACTGTAAAACTGAACTGCTCAAAACATGCTCCCTATCAATGCGGGGAAGCGTAAGGTGGTAGTTGCTGACCAGTATAACAATGGCTGAAGTTCTTATTCTCTGGGTGAAACAAATACCTGTTACTCAAATATTGGAAGAGACTTTTGAGTGACACATTTGGAGCTCCGGTTCATTGTCACCTTGCAGTCGGTAGGGCCTTTAAAGTCCTTGTGTTTCTTCTGCAAACTCTAGAAAGTCTAGTTCCGGTCCTTTTCACCATAGTGTATGGACTTAATATTCGTTCTCATCTTTAATGAAAAACTGCACGTGGTGTCCCCATTCTTGAATAGGAACAGCACCGTCCTAGAACCGTTCGGAGAAGAAGTACGAATAAAGTGATTAAGTTAAGGTGCAAGCCTAACGTGAATCGCTTAGTTTCCCGTGGGCTGCAACCGACACACTACCGAAGGATCAGAGGGGATATGACCATGCTGTACCACACTGCTCATAATTCCGTTCATCCTAAAAGTTTTTTCTTAGGCTTTAACCGGAAGCGCCACTTTGGGGGCCACCTGCCAAGAGTAGAGCATGAAAGCACATACAAAGATTCCTGCTGCCTTGTTTGCACTTAAGGTGTGAAAACTGTGGAAGTCACTTCCTGCAGAATTTGCTACCGCCCTCCCACCGATATTTTCAAAAGGAGGTCAGATGGATATTTACAGTCCCTTTCCATTGAATGGCTGCACTGGAGAAGCTGTTTGTGGGAATAACACTACCTAATGAGAGCAGATTCATTAATAATCGATTATTTCTGCAATTTCTATGCTTTCCCGGAACCGGAAAAACAACCGTGATAATTCCAAACCAAGAATGAGCTCCCATACAGCGGAAGTAGAACTCAAGGAAACATCGTACCCAAATTCCGCAACACGCAGTTCAGAGACAGAACTTGGAGGACTACCTATGGATTATCTCAAATATATATCATCTTCTAGCCCATGAAACTGAAAGACGAAATCCAAAAAGATGGACTATGCCAGCTCAATGAATCCATTTATTCTCTCTTCATGCAGATGTGTGTTTTAATTGTCCATTCTTGTAGCAACGTTTGAAAACAACTCATCCAGTGTTTTGAAAAAGCGGTTTGTAGCTTGGACGCAAGTCAAGGTTAGGTGATGAACAATAATGAGACCGTCTTGGAGACCGATGCACGTTTTAAAAAAGAAAAGCAGAATTCACTCATTAATAGGAGGAACGTTTCAATAAAAGAACGTGAAGAGTTAGGATTTTCACCTAGATACCCACCTTTGGCTAAATACGAGGATTATGTACACACATGTGACACAGAACCAACGGAGTTACCCAAGTCTACTGAAAAATTTGTAAATATGTGTACGAACAAACTTCAAAGTGTATTTCTAAAGGTATAACTATCATGTGAATATGAATTCGTTGTTGTTTACTTTCTTAGACTATTGGTTCATACAGAAGAAGCTCCTATATGGCACCCCCCGAAACACTGGGCGAGCCACTTTCAATGAATGAACCGTATGTCAGTGATCGTGCTATACGAGGAAAACTTGGTGGTAAATTCAAGTTTCCATTTATTTCAATTTCAAGCTAGCTTGGAAATTCCATCCGTTTCCAAACAGCAATATCTGAAGTCTTCAATACTTCCACAGCTTGTATAAGTGTCTTCGTTTCATAATTGTTTGGTATTTATTACGATATTCATTAGGAAGCATTAAATTCCACGACTTTGACTGAGGATCAGAAAAGAGCACAGCGTTACTTGTTCACATCAAGCTACCAGGCGTAATTTTATATCAAAGAGTTTTATACTTTTCCTTAGGGCATACGGAAACCCTGCAGTTTTTGGCACCACTACCTATCGACGCATATATCCAATTATAAGCCTAGAAACTATTTCACGCCCAGTAGAAGGTTCAATGAAGGAAAATGCATATTTTCCTTCAACAAAGACATGGATAGTAAGTTATATCTGGAAAAATATTTCAAATATTTGGTCGAAAATTTCAATTATATCACGATATTACTGTTGAAACAAACCCTATGGACATCACCTTGAAAATTGATCAACAAAAAATTGATTGTTATTAAGCCTGCTTCATTTTCTTTTGTTTTGAATGTTTATGCTAAAATATTGGTTAAAGTTTATCGATAATCATCTTTGTTTCCGCGGATTATTTCACACGTCTCTTGTTGTGAGGTTTCATAGATGTAAGTATCACATGTTGAGCAACCGAATTACTGGGTCCAGACAATGTTCGCTTCTTTTAATGTGTTCACCATGATTCCCCTCTTCGCATTCCAAGTATTCCTTCTAACCCATAATAGCGATTGCTATCTAAAAACGATTCTATGTTACCCTAAGTGAAATTCAAACTTGCCACTCAAACAATAATCAAATGGTTTAAGCCAGTAAGTATTTGAGCAATGTGCACTGATATACGTGGTTCGTCCTCTAAGGTTCTATTGCAGCAAGAGAAGTGGATCCTAGGGTTTAAGCGGAAATGAAATCAACAAAACTATGTTCTGTACAAGCTTCATTTCTTAAGAACTCAGAAACATTGATATCACACTACAGAAAAGCAGACGAAAGTGGGATCAACATCTAAATATGTTGATAGTTTCGCATTCTATAATTAACCTAGATGAGTGAGTTAATAACTTTGTAGCATACTTTATGCCTGTATCTGAAGCTTATTGCGAATGAGATAACTATGAAATATGTTTCGGTTTTATTAAAATACCGATATTCTATCAGAAGAGTTTTCATCATTTTCTAGATTAATATGTGTGAAATTCTTTTGAATTCATAGCCAGAAAATTTCGATCCCATTCAGTATGACTTGAAGCAAACAAGATATCCCTATTTACAGGAGAATCGACCTCATGAAGTGTAAGTCGGTCAATTTATCTATTTGAACACTCAGTAACATATTAAAGCAGACTATCCTATTCTTCTTGTTTGTTGGATTACTTCTAGGTGTAATACTGCTGAACCAAAGTCCTACTTAAGTGACCTGATGTGTGTTTATAACCGGGTGTTGATCCTAAGTTACTTATCTCCTCAGGTACGGTGAAATTTATATATGCTCAAGTTAGCTATCTTTGGTAACTGATGTGCTGAAGGTTTCCCTCATTTGTAAAGAGTTGAATATACACCTTATTATAAAAATTGTCCTCCTGTTTCCTCTGAATACCTTAGTCACAGTGGACAAACAATTGAAAGTGCTTTATTTCGCTGTTCAGGATAGCTTTGGTTAATGGGTGGTTGTGGGACTTTTCCACTGAAGATGGAAGAATACTTAAGATTGTGACGAATAAACCAAGAGAAAACTATGCATACAGAGGGTTCCTACTGTTTAATTTTTATTGTCGAAATGCGAGACAAAGAACGTTTGTAAGGACGTATTTCCAGCTTCATACTTCTGTCTTGTGTGGTGTTTTTTTTGAATATTTGTGAACTATTTTCAAAGAAAACGATGCATATTTAAAGAACTTAAGTATTTATATTTGTAGCATCAGTCAGATTAGTTGAGGATTTGACAATTAGTGGTGGAAATAGAAAACTTAGGGCCACTCAAACTAATGAACAACTCACGCTGCTTACATAAGTTTGACTGAAACAGCAGATAGCCATTTGGCTGTTTTTGATTCGATAAAGTTGGAGATGCCCTTGTATTAACTTAGACTGCCGCATCGTTATGGTTTCTATATCATTTAAACATGCCAAAAGTTTGATAAAGCTTTAACTGAAACATATTTATGCATTTATTTGAGTAGCAAACATTATTAGTCGATTCAGGTATTTTTCAGCCACCTACAAGAAATGTTTGTATAGAAAGCCTAATTTTGATATTAGCGATGCCATTTTTCGTATCTAGTGGATCACTTTAATTGTTTGAGACAATTTGTTTCCTAAAATTACTAGAAGGATGCAGTTAAGTTAAATCAAATTGTATCGCCAAGGTTTTCACATGTGAATCTGGTGAACTTGAACAAAATCAAATTGAACGAAGTCGCTTGATGAAATGCATTCATTTTATTTCGTGACACCTAAACATGCTGTTCAATCAGATTGATCTTAATTCCTAGTGTTAAAAACAAGATAACCTGTTTTATGTGCTGAGAGTAAAATCACAATCATGAAAATACACTTATCTAATAAAAATTATATGGAAAGTAGAGTTAGTAAATTTTTTGAATATCTTTTCACATTACAGAGAAATAACCCTTAAAATCCATCCATAAGGTGAAGCTATACAAATCAGACTCGTTATATTTCTGTCTCTTTGATGCCACAAAAGGCTTCATTGTGCACATAAGGAAACATGAATAATATAAAATCTTGCTCAATATCTGAGTTCTAAGTGAACCATAAATGAATGGAAGACATGCTCATTGGCTTGAGCTGGTTGTGTCTGAGCACCAACCAACTTCGTCACAAGAAATTGTTTAAGAAATCTGTTTGCACTGTTTTCAGTTAGCGAAACGGCATCTGTCTTTGTACAGTTTGCTTGATATTTCAATGAACACCTTAAGATTGATGTTCCTTCCACCCAGTTAATCATCTCTCTTCATGATGGAAATACCAGATACTTTGTTGGGTCACGAGAAAAGCTGTCACGTGTTTCCAGATTTGAGTTTGTTACGTGATAAGTTAATTTAAAAACCTCTGACACTTATATTTTAAAGTGGATTCATAAGATTAGTGGTTATGAAGTCGACACTACATCTTATTAATTTGTCGTCTAATCTGCATCAACCAACTAGGTGATGTGGTCATTTGATTTGTTCAATTACATATACGTATAACTTTTTAACTCTTTTCCTTCTTTAATCCCTTTATCTGCCTTTGGGTCAATGACCAATCATATCTGTTGGCCTAAGTAGAATCTGCAGTGAAATAACTAGTCATATTATCAGGCTGATGTAAGTGGCCACCAGGCTACTTGATTCAATATCGCGATGCACTTTACTAGATATTAGTTGAATGGGAACAACTGGCAGGAAGCAGGAGATCAGTCGTGACCAGAATAGCTCAGTGGTAACGTTTCTGACTGCATTACTGGGTAACATAGGTCTGAATCCTAGGCGGGACATCAGTTTTGTAGAGGTTGCAGGTACGCCATGTTGATGAGTGCCCAAAAGCATGAGACCCTGGGTCGAGCAGCACTTCTCCCCGATTGCTTCCACCACATTTCTTTAGATGTGAGTGTAGCTTTGTCATAAGTCAATCGATGAATAGCCTGAAATTATTTGCCTGCAATTTCGGTGAGAAAACTTCTTACCCAAAGACCATCGGGTTATGCACGACCTATCAAATTTCACTAAGCTGAAGTTGGTTTAAAAGAAATAGTCCGACCAAGTGAATAGTGCTTCATGAGGTAGAAAGTAACAAACACTTCGTAGAACCTGTAAATTTTGACTACTGCTGCGAAGAAATTCATGAATGAGCACAGCAAAGAATTTAAGATTTAGGTGAAGTAGATAGGCGTTACTGTTTTCTGTATAATGACTGCGTAAATCATATTCACTTATGATGCATATGACGTATGAATTTCACATTATCGACAACCTTATGGATTTTCCATATTTTAATCCTTCTTGATTACTATTTTAATTTCATGCTATTTACCTTCCTTGATTTCAGTTGCTCACATTATCCACGAATTAATCAGATTCCGGGATATAGGTAGGTAAATAGGTTTTTTCTTTGAAATCCATATCAATCTGTGTAAATTTCGTTTGAAGTTTGACAACTTGCTTGTGAAAAACAGCATTTCTGGCAACAACTTTTACAAAGTGAAATCACTTTATTGTCTATACAAACTGACCACAACTGGCTAATATATAGCATCCGTATGTCTTCAGGTGTATGGAAAAAGGGAACATAGACTAACATTCATTCACAAAAATAGATTCGTGAAGATCCCACACCTAGTTTTGCTGGTTAACGGGTGGCAAAAAATCTTCCCCACGTCCCACAGTAAAACCTCCCTTTCAACATGAAAACACTTGAGTTAAATCTCTTTAATTACCAACCATTTATATCTGATCAGTTAATATTATTTATGAGTTGATTTTGTTTAACTTTCGAACACGAATACTTTTTCGCTTACAAGACCATAACATAAGAATAGAATTCAATTGTTTCTACCTCACACTATTTCTACAAGCTAAATTCCATTTGTGGGGATATATATAACTAAAAGTAATGAAATGATATTCTATCCTGGAAAACTGCATTTTCCACGTCAGTGTGACCTGGCAAAATTTCCTAAATCTGGACAAAAATTTAGCATATTGCTTAGCATTTATTCACAACTATTACAAGTAAGACCTAGTAACTGTTTGTCAATATTAATATACAGGTTTGAACTAATGAAGTTGATTGAAACATACCAGGTTTTCCCAAGTACCCTTATTCATGCATTATTATGACAATAGATTCGATTTTCCAAAACTACATGATCGCTTTTTAGGATTCATTATTAGTTCATCTTGCTTGTTTTCCATAGCTAAAGATTTGTTTTCAGCTATTTTATTAGTCATGCAGGATAGTGTGTAAAGAGTTAAAAAAAAATGGCTTCCAGGCTATATTAGATGAATGTACTAATGAACAAGTTAGCAGATCAAACTACTTCCTAAAATCTTCTTTCACATAAGCTGTAAAATTTCATGCTCATCTGTAAGCCAAGCTAATTATTATGCTACCTAGTGAAAATTACGAATTGATTTCATTCGATAATAGTTGCTTTCGAAATCGGTTTATAAACTTGTCGAATGCACACTGTTTCATTCCAATAATTGATGATGTATATTGCCATAGCCTAGATTGCAAACTATGCCTGTTTCGAATTCAAACATACTGTAAATAGTGGTGATGGATAATGGCTAGCAGTGGAATCCAGGGGGTGTGTTTCGTCCTATCTAGGATTCGTCAGCTGCATACGCCTGCTTTGCAGTAAGTGGTGGTGTTCTCGCTGAGACTTGGACCTAAAAACTTTTGCTCCAAATGCCAAAGCGTTATCCATTAGGCCACTAAGTCAAGATTACCACAGACTATAACATCATACTCCAAATATAATTATGACTCCTAATCTCATTGTTGTTCGTATGAGCAAATAATCCACTTAATGTTTATTCCGCTTAAAATGCCATTTTTCCTGGGTTAACTCATCACAGTGAAAAGAAACTACGTCGAGACACATAGTTTTAGGCTATTAGATGCTTTATAGTTCTGTTTCACTAATTCTGAGAAATTTCAGTGAATCTGTTGTACTTCTGAGTATGTCATCAAAGTTTTCTTTAAGATTTTGGATGATATCACTTTAGGCATTCTTTTGAATGTCTTGATCAAAAGCATTTTTTTATGGCCTCAAGATACTATGGCTCTTAAAAGCAGTTCAATAAAGCTACGAACCATAATCTACTCCGAATTACTATGGGATTAACTGAGAATCAGAATTAAGCTTTTTCTACACATTTTGCTTAAATGGTCAGAGTGACGCAGTCACAGGAACCGTTCTTAGTTTCAACAAAGACAAAGAAAGTTAGTCAGCCAAATTTTAATTACAATTAACGAATACAACTTGCCATTATAAACCTACTCAAGACTGTTATTACTACATAGTCGTTCAAATCAAAATGCTGGATTTTTACATGAAGCTCAGTAGTTGATTTCAGAAACTAGGAAATTACTCATTATGTTTCCAGGCTGTAACGTCTACTTGTGTATCAGGGATTAATTCCGATCATTTCTAAGTAGTTGTCCTGTTTTTCGTAAAATTCTATTGGCAATATTGTCTATCAATCCGGACAACCCACAAGAACACATCACATAAAAAGAAACCAATTAAAATAAAATTGTAGATTTTTGCTAATTTACCTTTACCGAAGAAACTGTCAGAATGAACTTTACAGACGTTACGATATTGGTCACCCATCAAGTGCTATTTTAGTTGTCTACTTATATTTAAAGATTAAATCTGTTTTACTTCAGTCTAAAATACGTTGAAAATCATTCATTACGTAATAGAGCCTACTTCTTTCCAAATTTTTTATCAATTACAATTATTTCCTTTCATAAATTTAAACAAAATGAGAACAACAACTCTAGCATAATAACATAGATCCGTTTTATTTCATGTTTTCTCATCAGCTACTTACAAGCTGAAACAATTTTAACATCAAATTACATAGGTATTCCCATACTTGAATCACTATGATGGGGAATTGTCGGCCTCTATTAAAGGTAACATTGATATTAAGTGACTGTAAACATACGAATTGAGTGAAGGACTAGACGAATATTCTAGAGCAGAAGTTGGATAGGACGGGGAGACAAATGTACTCAACATATTAAGAAAGGTTACAAGACTGATGTTAACTAAGAGCTAATGTGAGTAGAATTCAGATAATTAGGTCAATAGTGTGAAATATAAAATAGTAGGAAACAATCCAACTTGTATGAATCGACAGTGATATGTAAAAACGCATGATGATTGTCAACAAAACAAAAGTCTTTACCATGGTAGACACAGACTAATAATTGTTTCTTTCTGAACACATAAGTTCGGTTTTAATTTTTTAATGGCTAACGCTTCAGAGAAACGTTACAAATTCGAATTCATCTGTTTATTAATTATTTTGTACGATTTCTGAGTATCGACTTCATGCCCACTATCAACAACGTAAGGTGACGGGCGATAGCCCTGTTGAAGACTTTTCTGTCTGTTAGTTGCAAGTTCCATGGAATATACTCAGAAATGCAGTTACAAACTCTCCTTTCTGTTCGCCCAATGTATGTGTTTTCAAACAAATATGTCTAATGCGGTTGAAGAGTGACTTATGGGACAAAAGCAGTTGAAGTTAAGATGCATTTCACCCTAAGAATCTTTACGATGGATACGTCCAAGTATATTACCATCGATAGTTCATTAGATTCCAAGATCAAGGAAGTGAAACTTAGCGTTCTGTTCATATTCCACTGTAAATTTTATATTTTGGTGTGGTTCGTTGAGTAGACTAAGCAAATATGAGGCATATTTCTAGTTATTGCAAAGAACAAATGTATCATCATCATACCTACTGTAAAAAGGTTGTTTTATCAATTACACACTTCATACTTGTACGTCCAAGGTTCACTATAAAGATATCTGCTAGTATGGGACGCGAAGGAACGGCTCATTGCAACTCTACCAATTTAACGATATATAACGTTGTTCCACTGAAATTGCACATTATTATTGAATGTGAGTAAAATGGTGCTTAAATTCTTCATTGGGTATAGACAGAAGATCAGAGTACTGATATATAATTTCTACAGTTTCTTCCAATGGTATTATTGTGAACACCGATGATACACTAGAGGATATCAATAACTTATCAGAAATGATTAAACCTTTCCGTTTCCGAGCAAATTCAAAGCTATCATTCAAGCCATAGATTGTCAACGTTTCCTGAATTGGTTTCAACTACTCTGTTAACTAATGAGCGAGTTTGTGGAAGGGTAAGTTTACTACAGACAATACAGTAGGTCTCATTGAACACTAGGTTTATGTAACTTTGAAAAGCCATATAAATGCAGTAGGCGAGATCCACATGGTTTGAATTCATCATAGACCGAGTTATCAATCAAATTCTTTTTCAGGGGCTCATGCACTTCCTTGTAATCCAATTTTTCGTAGTCTCAGTCATATCTTTGTCAGAAATGTTAATTATTAATCTTGATAAATAATCTAGAATTGATTTTATTTTATGTATATATTCATACTTGTCCATAATGACTATACCAGAATCCTTGTCCGGTTGAAGTATTACAGCTGTCTCATTATTCATTAAATTTCTCAATGCTGTTCTGTGATTATTAGATAAGACTTTGGATTGTGGCATTGACGAAAGGATATATTGGTTAGCGTTATCAACCAGTTTGAATTTATACCAACCTTCTTTCTCATCGTTCATGGGTTTTAATCTTGATATTTTTTGATATATGTTTTTGAATTGGGTTTCTGCATTGATTCTGTCGTATTTTCTAGGAAAATGAAGTTCGAAACCAAGCAAAAGTGCTTCTGTTCGATTCGACTTAAAATTAATATGGGTAGTTTCTTTGGATTTGCAGGAATCCCATCACATAGCTGATGTTTCAAAACAGCTTTGGACAATATTTTCATAGGAGCTTTACTGGTTTTCAACTGGACATCCTGAATAAAGTTGATAAACTTGATTCGGCATACAGTGCTGAGTTCTTTGATAACTTTCCCGAATATACTGGTTTCCATTATCAACCTTGAAATGATTTCTTCCGTACAATGAATATGAGAATTCGCAACAAGTCGTAAATTCTTTGGCAAAAGCAGAAGTCTGCATAAGAGCAGAGGTTTAAAAACTGCCGAGGAAAGCAGCATATATTCAAACAGTGTTCATAGAATTTCACTCTGGTTAATTCTCTGGATATTCTGCTCCGAATAGTCATCAAATGACTCAGCAACTTAAAAGATCAGACAGGGATGAGCTTCGTTGGAAATTTCACATAATTATTTTATTTCGGAAATTTAGGACGAGATAAAGCTGTTGTTTTCGCTCTAATCAAAATAAGATAGATCACTGATTTATCATGTTGTATGACGTTTGAGGAGTGATTACCAATGGATACTTTCAGTATTGTGCTCAAAGCTCTTTGACTGTGTTTTGAGTACGTTAATTTTTATGCCACTGAGAGACAACGTAGTCGGGATCATTATTCGAGATCAACTTGTTTAGCTATCACCCGCCTATCGTTTGACTTTTAGCATAACCGCTGCAATCCACTGAAGTGGAAAAATAAACTGTAGCTTCGCATTATAACCTCAGAAAAGTGTTTCTAAGTAATCCATCAGTGTGTTGTTTGTTTAGTAATAAGTAATCTATGAGAATTTTCGATTCACAAGTCTACGCATGTGCTTAAAAGCATCCTATATTGTTAAGACCAGTATTATCACTTAACGGATTGTATATTTGTCTACAATTTCATTTTAGTGGATCATTTACTACCAGTGATAGACGCAGTGATTCAGATAATCCATACAAGGTATATAAGCCATTAAATCTGGTTCGCCAACAAATTCCGCATGAATATGTCTTCGATCTGTAAGTTATTTGGTAACCGTATTTTCTAAATAATACTTATTCTATTGAAGTAATTAAGTGATATCAATTTCTATGTCTAAAACGTCGATGTGGCAACAATTTCTATCGATTAACGGTTTCATATCACCCAGTATCAAGCTACAACTTTCTTTCTTTCTTAAATAAATGTTACAGTACAAAAACTTAATAAACTAAGGGATTCAGCGCTATTGGGCATAATGGTTATTATAGTCAATCGACGGAAAACCCTGGAACTAATTCTTGTGAAGTGAACAGCAAACTTATCTTCAATTTCAGCAAGCAAGTTACCTCGAAGTCACATCAAAATGTCAACGTTAAGATTCCCAGATAAGGAATAAGGAATATGTGCGTAAGTCAGAATATAGTAAGTTATTCTGAGCTTTGATGAAAGAGCTGCGTTTGTGACTGTATTTCTGTATGAAACGCTTTGAAATCTTCAAAATGGCAGTGGTATTACACTTTGAGGATGGCTGCAGGAGAAAAGGAAGCTAAAATCAGACAAAGTTGAATGTCCGTCATCTTTATTCATGCAGAATTATATACAGTATACACATAATGCCAGATTCATTAGCTTAGTGGTCATACCTTAATTATGCAACCAGTTAGTTTGATATCAAGCTACTATTGTTCCTTTCTAACTGCATTTTATCGATAAAAGAATCAAAATTTTGTTCCTTTCGAGTTTAACATGTTATCTGTACAACTGGCAGAATAAACAATAAAAGTGGGGCAATGCTTTCTTGACGAGTGACCGATAAGCACGAAACGCGGATACGAAGCTTCGTGCCAATTACTCCCATCTAACTAGCATTTATCCTAATGTATCTCCATGATGGGTCTTCTAACCTGATAGTCACATAGCAAAATGGTCGATAAACATCAATCAGCAGTCAGAACTACGCAAAATGAAATCTCACTTTCCTGTAACCGACGATTCTATTTAATCTAATCCTGCAGGAAGCCCGAATAGTTCAGTGGTAACGTTAATGACTACAACACTGAGTGCCGTGGGCTTGAATCTCAGAGAAAACATCACTTTCATCGAAACTTAGTTCTAATGGGGCTTCCTGTCGATTACCTCCATCTAAGTAACAAATGAAAATTACTTATTGTCTTTGTTGATCGTTTCTTAATTTTTTCATGAAATTTGACTGTTAGTTATACAAGTTTACTTACTAGGCGCATCATGAAAAATCAAGAAGGCAACAGAAGATAGAGAGACTAACAGATAGTCTGTCTGTTAAACACTCTGTGGGATGAATAATGTATCGTTTATATTTGGTAAATGCTGTATGAGCGCCAAAGATCCTGGTGACATGGTTTTGAATACCAAAATTAATGCCTTGTTGAACAATCATTCTAAAATTCCTACATTCAAAATTGACAGAAAATAACAGGAATTAAGTTTTATAAGCTTTTTACTATGTATTCAACCTAAGCATATTATCGTGTAATTTGTGCTTTATTGGTGCAATCTGTTCTCAATAGGTAGTACATATGAACTTCAGAGACCATGTGATTAATAGTACACAATAAATAATGATCTTAAAGACTAAACAAACTAAAACTTTTGGGACAGCTACACTTTTTAGTGGATACATACGTCAACTGCAATCTTAATTTTAGTAACCAGTTTATGTTGAAAAATCAACGACGATCTATTTGATATCTAAGTTCATCTACTGTTGACTTCTGAAAATATTTAACTAGAAACTCCATAAAGTTGATATTACTTCACAGTGTTGCTAATTATAATCCCCCCTCTCTCTGAATAATTTAAGAGGAAGAAGATAGATAGAGCAAAATGAATTTGTTTTATTTCACCACTATTCGGAAAATCAGAATTATCCAAACTTTGAGGAAAATGATTTGAGTTTATAAATTGCATTGGTGAAGAGGGATGGGAACTTAGCAATCCAGGAATAACATTAAGAAAATTCTGCTGATGAATACAGAAAATGAGCACTATAAAATGTGCTCAAAATAAATGACATTTTAATGTCTGGTATAACAAGGAATGTCGAAATCTTTAAGAGGGGCTTACCATAAAGTATGTAAAAATACAGGATGGTTAAATAAATAGAAAGTCACATCAGCACATGATGACTCTGCAGACCTTAAAATAGCTATAATTGAAGTTTTTCAAAACAGACAACACAATCCACTTGATTCACACCCATTTGAATAAGGAAAGGTTAATTACATTTTTTTCTGCATGCAACAGTCAGTTTGGGAATGCAGTATTTTACAGATTTCATGAAAACGTAATATAATTGCTAGACTTCATTTATTCATTACCCTGAAATATTGAAGCGTCTACTTGAGATCCTTCTTTCTTCAGATATCTGGCAGTTGCACTAGTAAATGTTTTACTGCTAGGCAAATACAAATTCCCTCAAACATACTAGAAGAATTGAGTGGATGATCCTTATCTGAGCATTCACACCAGACTGATTTCCTAAATTCATGAAAAAGTGGTAAATGCACCAGGAATCAGGTTTGCGATTATGCATAAATCTTACATCAAGAAAGTTAGTGATACTCCGCTGTTTGTTCTTCCTACTATCTCATCATCCCTGAAATTACATTCCGTCTTTTGAACGAATGAACGAATGTCTAGACTTTTCGATAAATTCTCTCAGAATCTTAAAATGAGCCAATTAAGATTTGCAGTTTCTCCGAAAACTTTTTCAGTAACAGCGAGTTTGTTTTTACTCAACTTTCTTTTTAATTATGTTTTCATCTGGTGAAATGTGTCCTAAGTAAGTTCTGAAAGGAAAATTTATCTACTATGTACTCTATAGATCAATAGTTTTCTGATTTTCTATCATTTTAGTACATTACATTTCAATTTAAGTGGTTCAGTCGGTTTTGATGTTTTCATTCTCCCATAAAATTCATGACAAAATGAACATGAGTGAGGTTATCTAACAATTCTGATGGGTAATTCATATTATCAAAACGAAAAAGCATGTCTACTATGGTATACAGTTTTCTTGAGAACGAAAATCAAATGTATCAATTAATTAATAACCATCAGTTTGTCAGGTCAGATAAGTCAATTTACCAGTTAACCCATACAGCTGTCAATTAAACAACATTTTGACACTAAAGTGGTTAACTTGACTCTATCTTCGATAGTGGAGATGAGTCTTGCTGCTATCTGATTAGTTTTAAACCATTAATGTGTTGATAAATAGTTAAAAAAAAGACAACAGTGCTACGAAATTATATGGGATATTCTAATGACCGGGTTATTTAGAGAGTCAGAACATGCTTGTCCGACTGCGACTTACCAACCTCATTTTAAGGGCTTTTAGTTTCCGTGCCATTGATACAGCCTAAATGTGGCATGTGTTTATCATAGTTTATATGAACCTCAGGGGAATATACGAAGTATATATTTTGGGCAAGTTATAAATCAAGAGTCGACATGAAACTCTTGACTTAAAGACACTAGTTTGAACTGAAAATCAAACTCTTCCCCACACGTATGCGCACTTTGTTTTCAATTGAAACCTACAAATACTTTACCAGTCAGTTCGTGGAGTATCAGTATTGACAAATCACTCAAAATTATCACCGTTTTGTGCTCATATTTATTATGACGATATCAGATATCTTATCACAACCTCTAATAAAATTCATTTCATCCTCTGTATGCAGTTTTCGATCACCAACATCTCTTTATTCTATATATGTTCAGGCTTCTCAAAGGAAGTTTGTAAGACTGACTAACAATATCGACAGATGTGTGCGATAGATTGTGAGTAATTTATGGTTATTACTTCATAATTTAATTTCTACTTTTCGGGTTGCTTATAGTTACCAAGATCCCATGAAGTATAATCAACTCTTTTTTATTCTGTACATCTCTTTGGTCTCAATTTATTCGAATGTGTAAAGAGAATCAAGTTTCTGAAATATTTAAAATAGTTTGCTTTTAAACGAGGTGTTAAACATATTCATATAAGTTAATCCTACTGAAATAAGTAATTAATAGATTACCTTTTGCTATCTGTTAACGTGGTTGTGTTCTTTTCATCATCTGCATGAAAGTTTTTCATTTTTATCAATTCTTTTCTAAAGACGAAAAATTTCTGCACTTAATAAAACTGTTTCTCAGGGTGCTAATTTACTGTACTAGCACTTAATAACAATTAAATGTAACGAAAAACGTTTATATGGATGATTAGTAAGCTCATGTGATTCGCCCCAGTTAAAGCTATTTGCGTTATCAAATCATTTGCAAAACTGTATTAGATTCACTGTTGACTCAAATTTCTTTCCACAAGTAGCCCTACTTAACCGAATTTAAGGGAAATAATGGATTCGGGAACCATTTTCTTATTGATGTAAGCATGAAGCATACAGGTTATGAAGGATATAGAGTTGAATAAATTCACAGACTTCTGGGGAATAATTAAATTGAGCGCTTCTCAGAGATAAAAACTCAATGTAGGAAATGAAGAATGGAAACACTGGATGTTTAGAAATGAAGTAAAAGTTGTAGCTTTCTATTCAACAACATTCCATCCAAGTTTGAGGATGTATGTAATTGTGCAGTTCACGTTTCTTGAACATTTTTCAGAAGCCACTATTTTACTGAACGTGGGTGATATGTCATTTACTCATTCATGAACCACAAGAACTAACGAAACAGATGAAATTTAATTTTGGAGGTTTGTGAGGATTTATTGATTTTAAGGTGGTATTCATCAAGAACTAACATCAGTTGAGGAACCAATGAAAACTTTGGAGCACTGTACAGATGGTTTGTCCTAATATGAGACACCTCAACAGTTCACATCCATAACCTTGATAAGGAATGAACTCAGGCCCTCAGGTTGCTGGGCAGTCAAGTTACCATTGAGCCACTGAGTCGGAATTCAATGGTCCAGAATATCCTAATTCTGTCATTTCGTAATGAATATGAAGTTGAGATGAGCTTTAGTTATTGTAGTCCATCTGTAAATAAACCATCGGCATTGAGAACAATGACAAGAAGATTGAAACAGTTAAAAGTGAATGCTTACCACATCCTTAACCATTCAAATCAAAAATGTCTGTAAAATTTGTTAATCTTCATCTACTTTGTGTCTTCCCTCCCATATCTTTCTTGTTTCGTTCTAAACAATTATATACGATTTCATTCCCACCGTTCTCTGCTGTTCAGAAGCATAGTGATACAACTCACTAGACTTCTGTGTGTCTGTTTGATGTTATTTAATTCTACAGTAAGGAACAAAGATTACTGGAGTTTGCTGGTTTTCAGACACCAGCAGTTTTATTCATCTAGTGAAATATTGAATATTATGGAAACAAGCTTCATAGACCACGTTTTTCTGTTTGAACTTCATATATTAGCTAGCAAATTGTCCGCCACAGTTGTACGATATTACACTACCGAATTATGGTAAAGATTCATCTTTCTGTGTAGTCTACTCACTTGAGACAATAGGCAAAGCGGCTTTTGATACCTAATTGTCATATCAACAAAATTTGGTAATTAACAAAGTACTTAGAACTAGTTTGTCACCAAAGCTGCTAACCGTATACCATGACGTAGGTATGATATAAAAAAAGCCTATGCGAATCAGTTTTGCAGTATACAGGTATTTCAATAGGTTGAAATCATAGGTTAAGCCTCTTTAATTGATAAACTTCAATTCCAAGTATAATTTTGACCATTGCGTGCATATAGAATATGGACTCAGGAAATTAATGCATACTGCAGGCTATGGAAACACTTAAAGTGTTTTTTTTTCATTTGATTGCATTCAACTTTCACATTTATTAAATGAAGTTCTGAAGTTTTTGATCGAATCAAATGTTTATCCATGATTATCTGTTCTACTTGTTGAGTCAGTGGTAGTGATAACTTATTATTCATACTTCTTATGGTGTTTAAAAAATTTAAATGAAAAATGATGCTAACTTCATTGATGATTGTTTCGTACTTTTTATTTTACGAAGAAAGCCATATTATCTGAATTTGGTATGGTTAACAAGATGGTTGTGAAATCACTCATCGTATGAAATATTTTCTCTGATATTTGTATCTACTTAGTTTACAACAGATCAAATCTCATAGTGTGATGTACGTAGTCATGTGGTTACAAGCTGAAAATGTTTATAACTCGAAGTTTTTTGTGTAAGTCCAAGCACTTATTAAGTTCTTTCACTGGATTCCTTTCTTTCATCAGTCATCAACACTCTGATGTAAAACACGGTGACCTGCATGACGTATTACATGAACATTTATTTTGTTTGAGTTTCATTTGGTAGCAACCTGATTTATAAGAGAATAGGTCTTAGTGATATTGTTTTCTCTGAGCTGGGTTGTATAATCGTGGATCTTTCATCGTCTTTCTAGTCGACATCACCAACACTAACTTCATTATGAAGTATGAACTTTATACTGAAGTTATTGCTGGTGATGCCTACTAGAAAGACGATGAAAGCTCCACGATTAAGCAACCCAGGTCAGAGAAAACAATGCAACCAAAATCATCCACCTGAGCTACAAATATGTTCTCCACCATTTCAAAATCATATGAGAATAGACTCTAAGCACTGTGGTGGAGTATGATTTTATTTTTGTTCTGTGATTTAATGTACTAAGTCAGAGATGAAGTATTGTCACTTGAAACTATTTCTGAAAGATTGAATGATTGTGAGACTACCTACTAGATGTGATAATTGAGTAACCTATATTACAATGAATTTCGTTTCAACGGAAAAAGGATAAAATGCTTACTTTTCTCTTGGTAAATATGGAGTGAAATAAACACAAATCTGTTGTTTGATTAATTAAGTGATACTGTTTTATTTCACATATTACGATCAACTGCCACCTATCTAAAGATGCAATGAATCTAAGGATTAATAAGTAACCTAAAAACGAACTTTAGCTAAGGGAATTGATATATATTACCAATCTAAGCAGCCCATAGGTGAGTGTCTTGAGAGGAGCTGGTGAAGTATTTACATACCACAGTCAATAACTATTCTCCAGTGACTAAGCAGTGTATCTAAAATAGTCCTACAGGAGGTCAATCACGACCCGAATATCTCAGTGGTATTGTCTCTGACTGCAACAATGGGTGACAGAGATCGGAGTTTCAGGTGGGACATCAGTTCCATGGAGGTTGGAAATGCACCTTGAAGACTAACGCCAACAGCCACAAAACTTGGGCCGAGCAGGGTTTCCTGCCGATTGCCTTCAGTTAACCAACATGAAGTCAAAAGTAGTAGTTAACGCTGCGTTCAAGAGTTATAAATAATTTGAGGGTAAACAAACAGATGATTTTTCAGTCTGTAGGTACGCAAAAGTGATACAATGAATGACATTTTTATGCTTAATTACAATAAATCCGAAACAGTTTGATACGAGTACTGAGAAATCTATGGGAAATTTTTTTGAAAATGGATGTTCATTTAATTCAACGCTGAATGGTCATACTGCACAAGTCAAATTTGAAACAAATCCCTAGATCTAAATCCCTGGTATCCTTCAGTTAGTGGTCACTAGTCAGCTAAATGAGAAAAAGCCCATTAGTTTATTGAGTAAACTGAGATGAACATCATCTAGTTGCAAAGCTCTTAGCCAACTATAACTAGCAAACCCTTTCAGATGAAAAGAGTAAGTGACCTAAATAAAAAAAATTAATCCGTCCTCTTTGATGTCTGTAAATATAAAATATCTGTCAGTCAGACTCACCAGCAGACGATGCACCTCTAAGACAACTTGTTAGTGCCAAATCACGAAAAATCTTCATTTAGAAAAATACACAAACAATCACTGTACACTTATTCTTCATAAAGTTGTTGTAAATTATGTTTGGCTTAAAAACTGGATTTTCACCAACTTTAACCTCAGCTAAGATGATTCAATGTAAACAAGAAAACAACACAACGCATCAGTAACATAATCAAGTGATCCCATTGTTTTTAATGCACTTACTTACCTAGTCTGCGAATCTGTTTTTGTAGGTCCAGTTTCGTTTTTCTTCTGCTTATGAAATCTTTTAAGTATACATCAGTCAAATCAATATTAACTTTACCAATTTTTGGTTTTTTTCTTCGATATTTTTGTGATTTATCTATTGGCTGTGTTTATTGTTTATGGTTTGTAATTTCACTAGCTGAGATCTGTTATTCAGTAGGGTACTACTAAGCAAACTCATTGCATCTTCTTACCTATTGCAATATTGAAAACCGATGAAACGAAGTTTTTTCACTTTTTTTTATATCATATTGTAAATTAATTCCTTTTGGCTAGAGAATGTAGATTTCTCAGGTTCATGTTGGTCAAATAGTACATCACATTTGAAAGTATTTTTTCTTTATTCACTTGTTTCTTTTATATCACTTACATGAATAAATTTCTTTTCATCTCTTTCATGCTGTGCATCCTTAATTTAAGGAATTAAATATCCCAGGATATACTGGTTATCAGAAAATGGAAATGAGGAGTGATGGTTCACTACCAGATTTTGATTGTCCTTCATTTAACAAATTGCAGGAAACACCGAAGTCTACTATAGACCAGTGTGAACTTTCATCAAATGCATAGATTTTACGTAGCGTAACAAAAAAAGAAAATATGATATTCAAAAGTTATCAGTTTATTCAATGTAGTCACTTGAATCATTGAACATCTACCCAAATTAGTCATCTTTTACTGGGGTACTGTCAATAACATTAAGAATATCTAAATTTTCTT